CTACAGCAAGCATGTATCTAGGGGTGTCGTCCATCCTTATCCTTTGGGGTGAATGGATGCTGCCTCAAGGGTCCTATGAACTGAGCAGGTCTCTGCCTTTTAGACTTCTGGGATGGTCTCTGTGGATGTAAGGTTACTGGAGAGCAAATTGTTGTAGGCTTGAACTCTCTGTAAATACACTAGTTCCAGTACAAACCATGTTTATGTCCCGCACAGCATTACAGGATAAAGGTAAGGTGTCCCAAAGTAGGTATATGTATCATAACACATATTAGACGTTCCTAGCCATTAGTGACTTGAACTGCAACTGCTGAGAACCCCAAATCCTCAGAGAAGGTGTTGATTGCAACTACTTGTGCAGAATAACAGCATATATCCAGAGTTCACAAGTGTGTGTGTGGATTAAGCCATAGTGGCAGACTCCAGAATAGAAGTAGCTCTCTCCCAGAAGATGGCAAAGTGCAGTATGCAACCAGTTTGCTGTTTCCCTATCCTTTTTGATAAAGAACCCCACAAGGTCACATTACAGGCTTTGGGACAGAACAAGACAGGAAATTGAGGAAGAGACATTTCTAGACTTATAGCAATATTACTGTAATGTCCAATTTGAGGGGGAAAATTAAAAAATTTTAATTACAAATCAGGAGGGTTCATTTAAACAGGCAGACTAAGGACTCTCTTGAATGGGAGGTGAGAATGTGCTTGATAAGTTGGGGCTCCCCTGGAAAGACTGTCGTCTTGGTGTGTTGTGAGTACCTGCGATATGAGGCCGCAACAGGAGGATTAACTTGACATAGAATGTGCACTGTGTATGTAGCTTTGTTAACTATCTATTTCTTCCTGCAGGGTGTTAGGAGCTGGCTATCCTAGCCTGGCAACTATGACAGTAAATGATTGGTACGAACAACGCTGTAAACAGGGCATCATGCCCGATAAAGGCAAACCCCAGACAACAGCAGGTATGGAGCAGTAAGGAATATGTAAATGGGAGTGCTAATGATCCTAGGAATCACAAACCAGTGTGCATTATTGCAGTGTCAGGAAAATTGGTTGAAACAATTGTAAAACAACCAGATAAACATAATACGATGGAGACAAGCTGAAACATCTTTTGTAAAGGAAAAATCTGATTCTAATTTACTAGTGTTCAGTGAGCTTGTTAACAAAATAGGAACAGACATGCTTTTTGAAAATCCAAATACGCTGTAATCTGTTGTCCTTCAAAGTCTGTCACAAGAGGCTATTAAGAAAACTAACTAAGAGGCAGTAGGGTGACAGGCAAAGTATTGTCATGGCTCTGAAACTGGCTGAAACAGAAAACAAAAGGAGGGGGGGAAAAAAACAGTGAAGAATGCAGGGAACTTCAGAGGGACCCAACAAACCTAGCTGAATAAGCAACACGATGGCAGATGAGTGGGAAATGTAAGCTAGTGTACCTCAGAAGGAATCATTTGAACTCATCATGCATAGAACTGGGTTCTTAATTAACTGGAACCACTCAGGAAAGGTATTTGAGTGTCACTGCAGACATCTCAATGAAAACACCTATTCAATATGCAGCAGCAGCCCAAAAAGCAAACAGTGTTAGGATGTATAAAGAGTTGGATGGAGAATAATACTGAAAACATATTGCCGTAATATAAATCAGGGCACACCTTCTCTTAGATCAGAACTGAACGCACTTATTCTATCTTTTTTGAGATGGGCTGACCAGAAATCGAAGGGTTTTTATATGGGCAACAAAAGTGATGAAAGGTTTTGGAGAGACTTCTATTTGAAGAGGTACACAGTGCAGTTTAGAGAAGAGAGAAATAAAAGGGGATATGATAGTTACTTAAAAACAAAACCCAAGATACAAAGAAAGTAAAGGGTACACAAAGGGTAAATGGGAGGACCCATTCTCAGAATACAAAAACAGGGAACGCTTAATGAAAGTGAAAGGTAGTCCCAGTCCCAAAGAACTTATCTGTAAATTGGTGAAATGACTAGCACCATGGGGCCCTGGACTGTAGGCACTACTGTAAATGAATTATAAAGTAATATACTAAACTGCCAATGACTTTTTTCTTTTTTAAACATTAACTACTGGAACTCACTGCCACATCGTCTCTGAAGTAAGAGCCTAACAGGCTTAAAAAAAGGATTAGACACTTATATGAATGAGTGTATCCACAGTTATATTTGAGTAGAAGAACAGAAAGGAGGATATAAGTATCAGGGGTAGCCGTGTTAGTCTGTATCTACAAAAACAACAAGGAGTCTGGTGGCACCTTAAAGACTAACAGA